AGCCTATCTTATTTAGACAGACCTGCAGAGATAATAACATGCACAAAAACAAGACAGCAAAACCAAGCAACAAAAGAAAACAAAACAACAAAAAAGAAAAGCTTGTAGTTAGTTCAAGGACTGTTTGTTGGCCCTTAGGAGTGTTTTCCAGTCAAGTCTGATGGGGTGCAAAGACCTGGCCCCCAAGTCTATTTTTGGTATTCCTTGGGGACTTCGTTGCTATGTTCCCCTTGCTATTCTGTTGCATGCCCTAGTGTTTTGCCTCGGTGTGGTGGGATCAGATCGGGTGCAATTCCCACAATGCGTCTCCAGTATTGTCCCCTGTTGGGCTATGGGTCAGTGAGGGATGTCGTGTCTCATAGTGGGGCTGGCCATATGGTCCTCTCTGCATTGTCTGCTCTGAGCGGGAATATCGTCCTCAAGGGTTGGTGGGTCAGACTGTGTTCCACTCTCTCTTCCTCCCCCTTCATTTGCTCCCGCATGCTCTGATCAGACATGTCCCTCTCCCTGGGCTGTAGCTTCTGTGCTGTCCTCTGAAATAAATTCTTCTTGGGGGAAGGGCAGCTGTCCGCGTAGTTGGGATTGCGGTTGGCCCCTCAGCTAATACTGGTCTTCAGTGCCTAAAATTCTTCCATTTTAACAACTTTCTTTTCCCCCAGCATTGTTTAAACCTATTGTTCATCTAGAAACCCGTCCACATTTTGCTTTAGTAAATAAGGGCATGTATGTAAAGAAAGCTGGTGTTCCCTGCTTTTGACGGGTGCTAATTATACTGTGCTTTTGTCTTTCAGAGCAACCCAGACAATGGAGGGGTTACTGCATTACATAAACCCAGCACATGCCATTTCTCTCCTGAGTGCCCTCAACGAAGAGCGCCTCAAAGGACAGCTCTGTGATGTGCTTCTGATCGTGGGAGACCAGAAGTTCCGAGCCCACAAGAATGTCTTGGCAGCCAGCAGCGAATACTTCCAGAGTTTATTCAATAGTAAGGAGAACGAGGCACAGAGTGTCTTCCAGCTGGACTTTTGTGAGCCAGATGCTTTTGACAATGTCTTGAACTACATCTATTCTTCATCTCTGTTTGTTGAAAAGAGCAGCCTGGCGGCAGTGCAAGAACTCGGCTATAGTCTGGGGATTTCCTTCCTGACCAACATCGTTTCTAAAACGCCTCAAGCCCCCTTCCTGCCGTGTCCAAGTAGGAAAAGAGTTTTCCTGGAGGAGGATGAAAGCAGCTCCCAAAAGAGAAGCGTCATCGTCTGTCAGAGTAGAAATGAAGCACAAGGGAAAGCCGTGAGTCAAAAGCCCCCCGAAGTAAGCCATATTTCCCGGCCCGCGCCCAGCATCGCCAGCAAGACAAGTACCAGTAAGCCGACGGACCCGCTTCACAGTCTGTCGCTAAGTGAAAGGGGTTGGCCCAGAGATAGTTCGGGGGTGTATGCTAAGACTCTTGGGCGCTCTGGCTCTTTGGATGATCCTAGCAGAAGCAATGTGGCACAAAGAAATGCAGTCTTGCCTTCAAAGCCTCCGCCAGACCGAGAAGCTGCAGAGGATAAACCAGGTGGGAGTGGTCAGCTCCCCAAAGGAAAAGCCATCAAGCTGGCTTTGAAAAAAACACGGCCACCTGTTTTGTCCCTGTGTGGCTCATCGGAGGCTCCTTACCTCTTGAAAGAGATGAGCCCAGGAGGGGGTCGCGGCGAGGACAGAAGCTTGCTGTACTACTCCAAAATGGGGCTCGTGGTCCCATCCAGGGAGCCTGGTTCTGGCAACCAGAGCATTGACCGAAGTGGCCCTCTCGTCAAGAGTCTCCTCAGAAGGTCGCTGTCAGTGGACAGCCAGGTTCCTATGTATTCACCCTCCACAGATTTGAAGTCTTCCCAGGGGTTACCTGCCCTGGGTCGTGACGCAACGGGGAATGTGCTTTGTGCTTTAGTTCAGAAGCCCGCTTTCAAAGAGGACGGGGCGAAAGCAGCCCTGGATGGCCGGACTCCAGTCCTATCGCCACACCGCCTTAGGTCTTTCAGTGCTTCTCAGTCCACCGACAGGGAGGCCGCCTCACCCATCACGGAGGTTCGCATCAAGACGGAGCCCAGCAGCCCCCTCTCAGACCCTTCCGACATCATCAGAGTCACCGTGGGGGATGCAGCAGCGTCCTCCCTGTCAGCAGTCACAAGAGACTTTTCCCTGAAAACAGAGGATGACCCGAAGGAAATGAGCAGGCTCCCAGCCAAGAGGAGGTTCCAGGCTGACAGAAGACTGCCGTTCAAGAAGCTAAAGGTAAATGAGCACGGATCTCCTGTGTCGGAAGATAACTGTGGGGAAGGCTCGAGCCCTACTCTCCTCGAGACAGACCTTCCACATTCTGACATGAATAAAGATGCATTTGGTGAGTTGGAGGGAACGAAACCCAACAAAAAGTTTAAATGCAAACATTGCCTTAAGATCTTTAGGTCAACAGCAGGCCTTCACCGCCACGTTAACATATACCATAACCCCGAAAAGCCCTATGCTTGTGACATCTGTCACAAGAGATTTCACACAAACTTTAAAGTGTGGACACACTGTCAGACACAGCACGGCATAGTGAAGAACCCGTCCCCAGCCTCTAGTTCACATGCTGTTTTGGATGAAAAATTCCAAAGAAAACTGATTGACATAGTGAGAGAGAGGGAAATTAAAAAGGCCCTGATCTTTAAATTAAGGCGTGGCAAACCTGGTTTCCAGGGGCAGACTAGTTCCCCAGCACAGCAAGTCATGAAGAGGAACTTAAGATCAAGAGTCAAAGGAGCATACATTTGCACTCACTGTGGAAAAGCCTATCGCTTCCTCTCTCAATTTAAGCAGCACATAAAAATGCACCCGGGAGAAAAGCCCATTGGAGTACATAGAGTCAGTAAGCCAAAAGAGCATGTCCCTCTTGAAAGCCCAGTAGACAGCAAGGAGGTTTACCAGTGTCGCCTCTGTAATGCTAAGCTCTCTTCTCTTCTAGAACAAGGCAACCACGAGCGATTGTGCAGAAATGCAACTGTTTGTCCTTACTGCAGCCTTAGGTTTTTTACGCCCGAGCTCAAGCAAGAGCACGAGAGCAAGTGTGAGTACAAGAAGATGACCTGCCTGGAGTGCATGCGCACCTTCAAGTCCTCCTTCAGCATCTGGCGACACCAGGTGGAAGTCCACAACCAGAACAGCATGGCGCCCACCGAAGACTTTACCCTGCCAGTTCTTGACCACAACGGCGACATCACCAGCTCTAGCTCGGCGAGGCCCCAGGCTCAGTCAGAGCCAAATAAAGTGAACCACGTGATTCCCGCCAAAGAGGACAACAACGTCTGCAGCGACTCTTCCGAACAAATTAACTTCGATTCCGAAGACTCCACTTGCCTCCCCGAAGACCTCAGTCTTTCCAAGCAACTTAAAATCCAAGTCAAAGAGGAGCCCGTGGAAGAGGCGGAGGAGGAGGTGCCCGAGAGCAGCGTAGCCCCCAAAGAAGCAGCCACCAGCAAGGAGCCCGGCCTGTGGCCCTGTGAGAAATGTGGGAAGATGTTTACGGTGCACAAGCAGCTGGAGCGGCACCAGGAGCTCCTGTGTTCCGTGAAACCTTTCATCTGTCACGTTTGCAACAAAGCTTTCCGCACAAATTTCCGGCTCTGGAGTCATTTCCAGTCCCACATGTCTCAGGCCACAGAGGAGCCGGTGCATAAGGAATCCGAAGGGTGCCCTGCGCCCACCAACTCACCCTCCCCACCACCCCTCCCGCCACCACCCCCACTACCCAAGATCCAGCCGTTGGAACCTGACAGCCCAACTGGCCTGTCTGAAAATCCAACTCCCGCCACGGAGAAATTGTTTGCACCCCAGGAATCAGACACACTTTTTTACCACGCCCCACCTCTCTCAGCAATCACATTTAAAAGACAGTTTATGTGTAAACTGTGCCATAGGACATTCAAGACTGCATTTAGTCTCTGGAGTCATGAACAAACCCACAATTGAAAGACTGACACTTTTTACCTATTACTAGAGGGGAGGTGGTTTCCAGATTTCAGCCTGCATTATGAAATGCAACAGGAGAAGCAGCTATTTTTGGGAAAAAAGAATAGTAAAGGTCGGAAATCATGCTTGAATTTATATTTGAGGCAAATGGATAATAGTAACAGCCGTGTTCAGCGTTTAGGAAAACTTAACAATATTGTGGTTCTGGACTTTCGGTCACAGAATGATTTTTATTTCATTAATGTTGAGATTTGATTCATCTTGATTGTTTGACAGTAACACATCCCATGGTGTCAGTATAATCTTTTAATTGAGGTTTTGTTTATTTTTCTGAACTGATTTGAAATTAGTGAAATACTGTTAAAGTATCTTTTTTTTTTAAAGCTTATCCCAGACACCGAAGTTCTAGTTAATTCTTAGCCATGTTTTCCAGTCCAAAATGAATCAGGAAGAAGTGGAGTAGTTTGCAGTGTTGATTTAGCTACTAGAATATCTTAGCAATAAAAAGAATTTTAAAAAAAGATAAACCTCAACTTTAATAAGTTATCCTGACACTTACTTGATCAAAGATAGATATTTGGTATTTTGTGGTCACGTTGGACTTTTTTGTACAAAAATTGTGAGAAATTTAAATGAGCAATAGTAATACTTAGTAACACTTAGATGCTTATGAAATAGTAAAAGCCTGAAGGTCAGATTCTCAGACTCGGGAAATGAAAAGATTGCTTCCTGGAGGACCTCTGAAGTCAGTTACAGGTGCTTCAGCAGGTATAGCCGTGGTACTGACAGTGCAGCTGTCCCACAGTTTAGACACAGGGTAGCACGTGAGTGACTGTCAGGGTTTGGCTTTTCTCTGGTGTGTGCTGTTCAGGAACTGAAAATCGGTGGGCTCGGGACAAAGACACGAGGTCCTCGGTGGCACTAAATTTGGGCTTACCTTCATTGAACAAATACAGAACATATATTGACATAGGTCCCTAATTCTGAAGCCGTGCAGCACCTCTGAAATTTCTAAATCCCTGCTTCCTTAGAGACCCATCAAAGCAGAGAGAAATGCTATCCAAGTTTTCTACGTGCTTTCTGAGAACAATCTAGACGACACACTCACTTTCCTGCCTCCGTCTTCCATGGTGGTTCTCTCTCGTGATAGTCCATACGGTGGTTAAAACGCCAGTGGCAAAATCATTCTCTGCTTGTAGTCACTGCTTACTAGTTCATAGAATCAGAGGGCCTCAAAGTTCTGCAAAAATGAAATAGAAAGATAAGGGAATTTTTCCATTAACTGTTTGGAGCCGCCTGACATGTTAAAATACATCAAGAGTCTTCAGATCTGCACTAGCTACTTATTTTGCTTCGTGGGGGTTGAGCTGCTCTTTTTTTCTGTTATGTAGAAAGGAGTTACAGTGGTATGTATAAGCCTTTCAGTAGGTGTTAGCCAAAGCTCAATGGAGTGCTTCAAAAGGGAGAATTGTTTTACCTAGAGAGAGGTGGACTAGATCCATAAAAGTAGAAATGTTCTTGAAACGACCAATCCTTTGTAAGATCGAGGTATGGTTTAAAACTGCCAAATTTACTCCCTATCTTTTTTTACAATTAACCATCAAAGCAATTACTGTGACAAAGATATAATGTGTAGAGTACTTAAATTTTGCTCTAGCCACTAGAATTTGTACCTGTCTCATTGTTCACATTCCATACCAGTGGTAGGCAAAACATTTCTTTTTATTGAAACAGTCAATTTTTGTGAAATCCTCATTGATTTTTTTCACATTTTAGAAGTCGTATGAATTTTTTACTTTTTATTCTTTCATTTGAAAAACGCTAAATAAATAAACCAAAAACACCACACCAAATAGTTGAGTGATTATACTCTATTTTGTCCCTCCTTAAATTTGATAAGAGTAGAAAAGTCGCAGTTACTGCTTGTGGCCATTGTTCTGTTTTCTTGAAGAAATCTATGCATTTTAAAGACAAGCCTAGGCTAAAGCAGACGATTTTCGATGGAACACCGGCACAGATTATTGTTAGTCGGCTCATTCTCAGTGTGACGGCTGTTTCTGACTGTCAGCATCCCGGTAGGCTTTCCTTCTTCATGCAGGCAGTCTCTGCAGTGCCAGGACACCGGACTGTCATGACGTTGTAAACTCAGTATCCCAGGACTTGAAACTTTATGCTACATTTTTGAAAACTGTTAATAATATTAGCAAAAAGTATTTTTGATCTAAATAATAGGCTCAACATATCTGTTAGGTTTAAATTTTTTCCAGTGTTTTGTCAGTTCACATTTTTGTCTAGACAAGGAACATAATCCAAATAAGGTTTTGAACCAAAAACGTTTATAATGCAGTTCTCGTTTTCTATTACTTTTTATACTATACCTTAAGAGCACTAGGCAGAAAGATTTTATTTTGGTGGTCAAAAATTATGCTTCCGCTCATGTAACTATTTTCAATGTTAAGAAGTAAAATAATGAAAGATGTTAATTGCTTTATTTAGCACACTGTTTTATAAAGAATGTTTATCTCAGCTAATTATTTGGTGTGAAACAGGTTGGCCTTTCATTGTTGCAACTCCTTAAATTAGCTAGTAAAGATATTCTTGTAAATGATTTTTCTGGTTGTAATTAATTTTGAAACTAGACAGTTCTCATTCCTCCTTGTAAGTATTCGGAATGCCTTTTTTTATGCAGTTGTGGAAAGAATGTAAAATGTTTTAATATATTCTTTGTTAATCTGAGAACTTGTTATTGAATCACTTTCTTTACTTGGGGTGAGGAGCTAGTAACAATATATGTATTGTTATATATGTATTATTTTTATCAAAGTAAGCAATGGAGATAACAAAATATTGTACATTTTTAATAGTTATATTTCAAGATTACTAGAGTGTTCATCTTTAAACTACTTGGAGTTCATATGCATTATAGTTTTATCAAAATATATGACTAACAATTCAACGGTGATGTTATTTGCACTTGTGAGGAAATGAATGTACTTCCTGGTTTTGTTTTGGAATGCATTGTTATTGCCTGCTCTTCTTCAATGCAACGCCCCAGCAGTTCATTAGGAGTAATGGGATCCACACAGAGCAGCCCACTGGTGCTATGAGAGCAGCAGCTCCTGTAAGACGATGGCCCTTCAGTGGCGTCACTAGGAACTGGTCATTTCATGCAGTAGACTTCCTCCCTATCAAACCTATGGGGTCCTCTGTAATGCTTATTAGCATTAGGAAAATGTGTGATAGACTCATAAACCATTTAAATATAATATTTCTTAGATTATATGCATACTAACAAGTGTTTTTACAAAATCTTTCTACATTGAATTACAACATCCCAAAAACTGAGCGGGGGCCTTTTTTCTATTTCTCTTTTAATTACTTTATTTGCAAAACATAAATAAAAGGCTATCGTCATAGGCGTTCAAATAGTACTTAGCACGATGGTGCAGCAGAAACACTGTAAGATGTCACAAAATGAGAGCCTGTAGGGACCCACAACCAGAGCAACAGCACATGCTTGTGTGTGCCGACGAACCCACAGCCTGCTCTCTCAGTAACCACAGCTCCGAAGAAGATTCAAAAAGTCACCATAGACTTTCTGGCCTTGTCCGTGTTTTGATTTATGTAAGCTGGACTTAAAATGTACTTCTTGGTACAGCTAATTAAAGGGATACTTTTTCTGAAAAATAATTTCTTCTGGAACTTAACAGGAATTATATAGACAACCATTTCGGTGTCACCTGGTGTGGTCTGCACCCGCCCTCCACCCCCACTCCCACTCCACCCCTCTAGTGATGCCACTGGAGAAAATGTGTTCTCCAGAGGAGGCAGGAGGTGGCTCCCTCTGCTGGTGGGCTGGAAGGTGGGGGTGAGGGAGAGACATTGAAGAATGAATGGGTCTCAAGTTGGCCTTTGTTTCTCTCAAACTGTGTGTGTGTGTGTGTGTGTGTGTGTGTGTGTGTGTGTGTGTGTGTGTGTGTGTGTGTGTGTAACCTGAAATTTTAAGATAAAATTTGAATTTTAATATTGCAAAAGTAATTAGATGTCATTTGTACAGGTTTATAAATTGCAATTCACCAATTTTGGAATATTACAGGTCTATTTCTGATGCCTCGGCAATGTTTTTTGCAATAATTGAAAAGCATTATTGGTTTAAATAATGCTAATAACCATTAATAAGTGTTCTTCAACACTAGCTACTAACCTTTTGAAAATTTTTTACCTGGATCTTTGTTTTAAAAGTTCAATGTTTGCCTAATTTTTAACGTTCTTGCTCAGTGCTTTTGAGTTTCCTTGGGATGATGGCGTTTTCACGTGATGGCAAAAAACAAAACCAATCAGTGTTGAGATTTGGGAGAAGAGTAAGATGAGTTAATGCTAAGTTAAAAAAAAAAAGTTTAAAACAGTTAAAGGCAACCTTGTGGGAGGCCAAATATTCTACTGTGAATCTTGACTAATTGAATTCCTTGCTCTTTCATTGATTAGTGCTCTCCAGGTTTCTGAGAACGTTGCCCTTGGTTAACGTTAATTTTCAAGAGGTGGTGATTTCTTGTTGACATTAATCCAAAATGAATTCAGAACTTTAATTGAGTAAACCCTTCCTGTTCAAGCGAATGAGTGGCTTTATAGTTGCGTATGTATATTTTATAGTCGTATGCCTGAGGGTAAACCATTGTTCAGTTTTATCTAGGAATAAACTTTTGGGACTAAAAACTCAGTAAAGTAGGACTTCTTTCTAATGTTAATCCCTTGCTTATTTGTATCACATCTCTCTTGTCAGGTTACTTTGCATAAATCTTGACTAAGAATGATTGGGGTCAATAAATTTGTACTGTATTTTGTTTTGAGTCACACTCTTGATTGTGTGTGTTGGAATTTGATCGTGCTTAATAACCTCAATGTATGAAGGTGAAGAAAAGCCCTTCTGTTTGGGTAGTGTGAATAACCACGTAAGAGTTGTGGGTGACAGCTAATGAACCCCCATAGTTATTGGTTGCTTCTAGAATTGACTTTGTATTACAACTTCAGTTACTTGGGACACCACAAACACATGATCTTTAAAACCAGGTAAACAGCAATCTTTATCCACTGACTTTCCTTGCTGTTCAAATGTGTAGCTTTAAAAATGAGTGGGAATAAATGCATAAAAATATTTGGTAAGCCTTTCACAGTAGTATTTTTAGCATAACAGTTGACAGGCTAAGTTCATGATGTATGAGCTTCACATAGCACTTTTCCCCACCCTTCTGTTCTCTAATAACAGGATATATTCACTTTTTCATGGCTTTCCCTTTAAAGTTAGGAATTGAGCTGTAGGATTTTCAAACACCATCAAGTTGGCTGGAAAATAAACCAAATTGCTGGAGTTGATTCTACCTCTTAGTGACCCTATAGCACAGGGTGGAAGTGCCCAAGGCTGACTACAGATCTCGGTTTCCTCCGGCAGAGAAGCTGGTGATTTTGAACTGCTCACTTCATGGTCAGCAGTCCAACTCATAACCACTGTGCCACCAGGGCTCCTGACTGGAAAACAGGGAAAGGGAATTGAGAGGAGAGGAGGGCAGCGGACAAAGGGAGATTGCTGTTTGATTGATCCCTTCCCAGTCATTGGCCTTGGGTTTGCACTTAACACCTTCCCTGCTTTGTCTTGGCCAGAATCCTAACCTGTCTGTCTTGGGAGCCTCTGGTTGAAAGTTCCCAGAATACAATATGCTAGGAACAAATGGTATAATCTTTCTCTCCTGCTTTAGCCCTGCTGCTCAATTTGCTATCAACTGTTGATTTTAAAACCACATTTTCCCTTTGAGGCTTGAGTTGTGTGCCTCTTGCCCCCAGAGACAGTGACTACTGGTGGTGGCAAAGCCGTTACCTATAGCATTTAGCACTTCCGTGGCCAGAAGTTAAATCTTGGCACTGTTCCTGGGAATTGGGATCCATGGACATTGCCTGGCAGGTGTGCAGATCACAGTCGAGTCACAAGAAGAATCCATGAGTTGGCATTGGAAACACAAGATTCAAACATGGTAAAGCCCTGCTATAAATGTGAATTTGGCCCTGGGCCCCTACCTCCACAGTAAGGCCCCTCAGAGTGAGTTCATTTCCAAGCCTGAAGGGTAATTTAGGGCCATAATCTCAGGAGTTGCACCAGTCTGTTCAACCAGTACGCCTGGCCCCTTTATAATGTTGAGTTTTGTGTCTCACTTTTTGCCCACTCAGCCAAAGGGGTTTCAATGCCTTGGTGACATTCTTTCACTGCACTGAAGATTCACTCTATCGTCTACTTTCCATTGTGGCCCGTGAGCAGTCATAGTGAGTCTAACTGATTGCCCCTTATAGATTTTCACTTTTTGCCTCTTTTCAAATTGTTGCTTCAGCTTAGTGTTCTGCCATTTTACTATCATATGCTTAGGGATGAGTTTCTCCATGTATGTCAGAATTCTACAAAACATTGCCTAGTTTTATTGAGGTACAACTTACATACAATAAGCTATGCATAATGGAAGGGTAAAATATGCAATGATATGTGTGTACTCCTGAATCCATCACCATATTCAAGATAATGAGCATCGGCCCTAAAGATTCCTCATGGACATCAATGGCATCATTTCCCATTTGTCCATCCCTTCTTCCGAGCCAGCTAGTGATCTGCTTCCTAGCACTATGTTAGGGTTCTCTAGAGAAACAACCAGGACACTAATAATTATATATATTTATAGAGAGATCTATAACATAAGATATAAATCTATAGAGCAGTACAAATAGCTCAGTGCAACTCACTT